ATGACATTTTGTAGGTAAACAAGTAAACATTAACCTCCCCTGAGCTCTCACCTTTATTTCACAAAAGGTATTTAGAGTTTAATCGCAATATATATACAACATATGTAGGTTGAGTGCTAAAACTGCCATTCTTGATTTAATAATAGTTTGCTACATTATTTTGGATCATATCACTCTAGTGAAAGTGTAGTAATCTCTGGTTGCTGTGGATCAGTGGTTGGGTGTCATCTCTTGCACCTTAAGGTTGCCGGTTCAATTCCCACTCAGGGTACATGCTGGGGTTGCATGTTTGATTCTTGGTAGGGGGCATTCAGGAGGCAGCTGATAGATGTTTCTCTCTCACATCTGATGTTTCTCTTTCTCCCTCTCACTTCCTCTCTCAAAATCAATTTAAAAATCTTAAAAAAACTTAAATAATTTAATTGACATGATCAAAATGATGAATTTTAATGCATTTTTTGTGTGTTATGCAGAAAATATGAAAAAATTACCACATGGAAAACAATTTAAAAGATAGTCTGCCTATTTTAATATAACAAATTAAGTTCATAATCATTTACAGATATATATGTCTGATATAGGCATATATTTGAAACAGGGTTAACCAGTGAGAAAAAGTACTCAGTCATGCAAATAACTTGGTCATGCAAAATTATTACATACATGAATAAGTTCAAGTTTGTATAAATGACTGTGGGAATCCTATATAATAAAAGCATAGTATGCAAATTATCCCCTCAACCGGGAGTTGTCCCAGAGTTTGACCAGAGGGTGGGGCCAGCCAGGGCAAGGGAGGGAGTACCTGGCCAACAGCCTCTAGGGACCCTACCAGTGCACGATTTTGTGCCCCGGGCCTCTACTCTCATATATTTGAATTAAGAAAACAGAAACTGAAGTAGCCAAGCAGATAAAGGGCTTCCCTGTTATGCAAAGCCACAGACTACTATGCGGAAATAAGTTCAATCACGTAAATTGCACTTCATGGGAATCTTAGATTACAAATTCCTCAACCCCTTTCACTGATTGAGCAAATTCTTTCTCACTCCCATTTTTATTGCCTGAGGTATCTTTAGTATAACCTACTGTGTCATTCACTTACCCTGTTCAGTTATTCTTTGTAATTGCACAGGCAACAGATAGTACATGTTGATTATGTAAACCCTTGAGCCAGAGAATGGGTTCCTATTTGGGTTCCCTTAGAAATTACCTACCTCACAGCTAACTGAACCCTAACATGGAATTAATCACTGTATTCTGTTTAATTTTTCAAAATAATATGCCTTTTTTTTCTCTGGTTATATTAAAATATACCTTCAGTGTGTTCAACAGAGTGCTATATACAAAGTAGGTGTTTAGTAGATGTGTCTGCTGCCATTTAAAATTCCAGTGTTAGGTATTCCATGGTTTACTAAAATAAGTATTTTAAGTTGTTACCACAATAAGAGCAGATCTACAGAGCAGTGAAAACATTTTGAAATGGATAAATCAGTACACATGGATGTGGGTGATATTTCTTAAAAGAATAACTGGATTGACTCAGGCAGACATTTCAGCCAAACATTTCCTGTGAACTGTATCCTCTCTCCTGAAGCAGAGGAGGACTATGGCCAATGAAGTTAATTAGTGCCAGATTAGTATGGCCTCAGCAGGTGTTAGGTTCAGACTGCCACCTGTTTGTGGAAGCCTCATGGTTGGCGAAGGGCTTGAGTAGTCTTGTTTTACTGACAGCTGCCAATTATTAATGTACCATATGCGATGATGGGTAAAGTTGCCATCAACTCTCGACCCATGTGCAAAATGGTGAACACAGTGACAGACAGATGAACACTTACAAGGCAACAAAAGACCTTCATTGCTGGACTGAGAGGCAGAACCTTAAAATGATTTTAATAAAGTGTAGTGAAAAATAGATTTTTAAAAAACTTTATTGTTTAAAGTGTTATAAATATCCATCCCCCCCCTTTGATCCTCTTCACTTTACTCCCATCCCCACCTGTCCCTAGGCCTTCCTGCACTATTGTTTGTCCATGGGCTCTGAATTAATGCATATCAGTTCTTTGTTTAGTCTCCTCCCATTTTCACCACCCCTTCTGAATTACATCAGTCTGTTGCATGTTTCACTGTGTCTTGATCTGTTTTGTTTTCCAGTTTATTTTATTGGATTCCATATATAAGTGAGAACTTATGATACTTGTCCTTTTCTGACTGGCTTATTTCACTTAGCATAATACTCTCCAGGTCCCTTCATGCTGTCTTAAAAAGTGATAGATCCTTCATATTTTACAGCTGAATAGTATTCCATTGTGTAAATATACCACAGGTTTTTAATCCATCTACTGATGGACACTTCGGCTGTTTCCAAATCATAGCAATTGTAAATTTATCTGCTATGAATATAGAGGTGTATATGTCCTTTCTAATTGGTGTTTAAGGCTTCTTAGGATATATTCCTGGAAGTGGGATCAATGGGTCCAATGGCAGCTCCATTTTGAATTTTTGTAAAGGAAATTCCACACTGTTTTCCATAGTGGTTGCACCAGTCTGCATTCCCACTAGTAGTGTAGTAGGGTACCTTTTTCTCCATATCCTCACCTTACTGTTTGTTGAAGTATTGATGGTAGCCATTCTGACAGGTGTGACATGGTACCTCACTGTCCTTTCAATTTGCATCTCTCTGATAATTAGTGATGTTGAGCATTTTTTCATGTCTATTGACCTTTTTTATCTCCTCTATAAAGAAGTATTTAAGTCCTCTGACCATGTTGGTTTTTTAAAATATATTTTATTGATTTTTTACAGAGAGGAAGAAAGTGGGATATGTGTGAGTACTTTATATATTTTGGAGATTAATCCCTTATCAGATGTATCATTGGCAAAAATGATCTCCCATGCAGTGGGTTCCCTTTTCAATTTGATGTTGGTTTCTTTGGCTGTGCAGAAGCTTTTTTAGTTTGATATACTCCCATTTGTTTATTTTTTCCTTTGTTTCTCTTGCACTAGTGTATCTGTGAAAATTCTGCTAGGTACAATATCTTATATTTTGCTGCCTATGTTTTTTTCTGAGATTTTTATGGCTTCACAACTTACATTTAAGTATTTTATCCATTTTGAGTTTATTCATGTGTATGGTGTAAGTTGGTGGTCTAGTTTCATTCTTGTGCAAGTACTTGTCCAATTATCCCATCACCATTTATTGAGGAGACTGTCTTTACTCCATTGTATGCTCTTTCCTCCATTATCAAATATTAATTGAGCTTAATTGTTTGGGTCAGTTTCTGGGTTCTCTCTTCTGATCAGTTGATCTATATGTCTCTTGTGCCAGCACCATCAGGCTGTTTTGATTACAGTGCCTTTGTAGTATAACTCGATATCCGGTATTGTGATCCCTCCAACTTTGTTATTGCTCAAGATTGCTGTGGCTATTTGGGATTTTTTTTTTTTTTGGTTCCATATGAATTTTTGGAGTACTTGTTAAAGGTCTGTGGAATATGCCTTTGGTATTTTAATAGGGATTGCATTTAATCTATAGATTGCTTTGGCTAGTATGGCATTTTAATGATGCTAATTCTACCAATCCATGAACACAATATATTCTTCCATTTGTTTATATCTTCTATCTCTTTTTTCATCATCCTGTAGTTTTCTGAGTAGAGGACTTTTATGTTGTTGATTAAGTTTATTCCTAAGTATTTATTTTTGTTTGAAATGGTAAATGGTATTGATTTTTAGTTACTTTTTCTGAGAATTAATTATTGGTGCATAAAAATGCCTTCAATTTCTGGGTGTTCATTTTGTATTCTCCTACATTGCCAAATTCATTTACTAAATTTAGTAATTTTTTGGTGGACTCTTTAAGGTTTTCTGTGTCATCTGCAAATAGTGACAATTTTACTTCCTCCTTTCCAATTTGGATGCCTTTCATGTTTTCTTCTTATATGAACGCTGTGGCTAAGACTTCTAGTATTATGTTGAGTAATAGTGGTGAAAGCAGACATCCCTGTCTTGTTCCTGTTCTTAGGGGGAATGCTTTTACTTTTTTTTCCCATTAAGGATGATTTTGGCTGTGGGTTTGCAATATATGGCCTTTATTATGTTGAGGTATGATCCCTCTATTCCTACTTTGCTGAGGGTTTTTATCAAAAATGGATGTTGGATTTTGCTGAATGCTTTTGCTGCATCTCTTGATATGATCATATGGTTTTTGTCTTTCAGTTTGTTTATGTGGTGAATCACATTTATTGATTTGCGAATATTGCACCAACCTTGCATCACTGGACTAAATCCCACTTGGTCCTGGTGTATGATCTTTTTAATATATTGCTGGATCTGATTTGCTAATATTTTGTTCAGGATTTTAGCATCTATGTTTTTCAGGGATATTGGCCTGTAATTCTCTTTTTTTGTAGTGTCTTTATCTGGTTTTGGAATTAGGATAATGCTGGCCTCATGAAAAGAGCTTGGAAATGTTCCTTTCTCTTGGATTTTTTGGAATAGTTTGTTGGAGCCTCATGGTTGGAGAAGGGCTTGAGTAGTCTTGTCTTACTGACATCTGTCAGCTGTTAATGTACCATGTGCAATGTTGAGTAAAGTTGCCATCAATTCTTGAACCATATGAAAGTGGTGAACACAGTGGTGAATACTTCAAAAGACCTTTATTGCTGGACTTGGAGGCAAAACATTAAAATGATTTTATGAAAGGGTCATTAAAAATAGATTGTTAAAGCTATGTCACAGACAGTGTACGTTTGCTCTGGTCACCATTTGTCATTTTGTTTAGAACTCTAAACCATATGTGCTAATAGAAACTGCTTTTTTAGAAGCTAAGAAACCTGACATGAAAGGCTACATTCCCCAAGAGACCTTTTTTTTTTTTTTTTTTTTTTTGCAATTTCATCAATGGAAAGACAATTAAAAAATAGCAAACTAATTGCTAAGCCCAACTATTTTGAAAAAATTAAAAGTATTATTTAAGAGCAGGACAGGGCCCACCTGGTGTGGCTCAGTGGTTGAGCGTTGACCTATGAATCAGGATGTCATAGTTTGATTGCTGCTCATAGCACAAGCCTGGGTTGCAGGCTTGATCCCCAGTGAGGGAGTTTGCAGGAGGCAGCACATTAATGATTCTCTCTCATAATTGATGTTTCTATCTATCTCTTCCTCTCTGAAATAAATAAAAAATATTTTTTAAAAAAGAGGACAGGTTTCTGAATTTGGTTGTTTAGGTAGAAGAAATTAGATATGAAATGAAATGTATGGGAAGACTTAAAATTTTTTTGAACTTTTTGAGTCTATAGGATTCCTTTTGCTACCTAATAAGAGTATAATATTCTGCAAGTTGATGTAGGGAAGAAATAGTTACTTAATTTATAGAGAGGTTATGAAAGCTTATATCCAACCTATTTACTTATGAAGTAACATAATGGTAATTGTCAATATAGTTGCCAGACACTTTGTATATCTTACTTCTTTCATTCTCTCATCATTCTTACGAAATAGATACTATTAGTCCTTTTTTTTAGACAAGGAAACTGAAGCCCAAAGAAATTAATTTTTGCAAGGTTACAAAGCTGGGATTTTAACTCCAATCTGGTTCCTAAACTGCGCAGTAAATCAGGTTTGAATAGTTTAAAAGTAAATTGATTTTTCCCAATTTAGAACCTGTTTCTAATGGCTGGACTAGCTACTCAAGTGACATCCATGGAATGGGGTATATGTTTGAAAATTGTAATTTGGTGTAAAAATTATTGAAATAAGAATGTGTGAAGTTTATGTCTAAGGGAGGCATCACTGTTGCTTTGAGATGCCATAGAAAGCAATTTTTATTTTTGACATGGTACTGCTTGAGAGATTAATTTTTAATATTTGTAAAATGTGATTAATTATAAGAATGCCATATGGCTACTTTGGAAAATATATAAAGCAACTCATATTAAATGTCTTAACTTCAGAAGAGAATTGCTAGATAAATGAATTTTATTTTGTCTGTTTCTCTGGTTCACAATTTTGAAATAAAACACATGTAAACTTCAAGAGACAAGCCCTTGGGTTTATGCAGGAGTTAGAAATTATGAAACATGGTTGTCCTGCTTATAGCTCATGTGCGGAGAGACTCAGAACCCAGCTACTTCCACTACTTACTGCCTATGGCTTTATGTGTGTCTTTTAGGATCAGAACCATGTGTTAAAGTCTTGTGATCTTATTGAGTTATTATCCTGCAGAAAAGATGTCAAGCAGGAAATGTGGTAGGGGAATTTACACAGGGTTGAAAAGAAAAGATAATTGAAGAAAATAATCTAATGTCTTAGTGAAAAAAATGAAGGTACAATTCACAGCACAGATTAGATCTGGGGGGATAGAGCCCACAACCAAGGTACATGCCCTTGACCAGAATCAAACCTGGGACCCTTCAGTCCACGGGGCGACACTCTATCCACTGAGCTAAACTGGTTAGGACAGGGCATATTTATTTTAAAACAACCACTCTGTACTTCTCCTGCCTGTATTAGAGGAGCTTAATAAGAACTGAAATGATGCTTGTGGAGTTAAGTCTTGGATTAAGAGTTTGGAGATTGTCGTGCGGTATTTGATTTTGATATAGTAATTTGATATAGTAAAGGTGATAATTTCAGAGAAAATCTTATCTCTGCAATCCGTGTGGCATCATTGTTAACCTCTCTTGAAAAGGCATAGGTTCCATTATACAAATATAGAGTGGGGCAAAAGTAGGTTTACAGTTGCTCATATGGAAAAAAGTGCAATAATGAGTAAATAATAATACAAGATTGAACTGTTTCATGTACTCAAAACTGTAAACTTACTATTGTCTCACTCTGTATAGATTATGGGATAGTAGGTTGATAATTGAGGCTTATATAGGGGGATATGCGGTTCTTTTCTCTATCCCCTTTCCCCTAAAATATAAAATGGGTCATAACCACTGTTGATCAGTTGCAATGTCTTTGTCATCTCTGTTTTCAGTTACTAGCAAATACAGCTCCCTCATTAATTAGAGCAAATATCAAAATCACCTTATCTGTTTGCTCTAAAGTAAACCATCTTGCTCATCTTTTAATAGGAAAACATTAGGGCCTTCTGTACTATTGTCTGTGTTTACTGCTTCAATAAATATCATTACCACTAGCTTTTCTCCAATTTTTACTTTTCCTATGATATCCCTCCCATCTTCACCAGTTATCTTGCTTGCTTTTCTGTCTACTCAGGTACCCACATGCTTCAGGGACTCTTGGCAGTGAATAGTGGAGGCTGTGAAGTCTTACCTAATAGCAGAAGTGGGGAAATCCTATATAATAAAGAGGTAATATGCAAATTAACACTCATGCCCTCAAGAGATGGCTGCCTGTGACCAGGCTGGCAGGGGGGGTTAATGAGGGACAACCAAATGACTGAACAAGCAGGCTGTGTGGGGCGATCAGGCCAGCAGGGGGGTTAGTGAGGGATGACCAAATGACTGAACAAACAGGCTGCGTGGGGCGACCAGGCAGGTGGGGGGCGGCTGTGAGGGGTGACCAGGCCAGCAGGGGGGCAGTTGTTAGAGGCAACCAGGTCGGTGTGTGTGGGGGGGGGCAGTTGGGGACGACCAGGCTGGGGGGGGGGGGCAGTTAGGCCAGCATGGGGGCAGTTAGGGCTGACCAGGCCAGCAGAGGGGGACAGTTGAGAGCAACCAGGTAGGCAGGCAGGTGGGAGCAATTAAGCCAGCAGTCCAGGATTGTGAGAGGGATGTCCGACTGCTGGTTTAGGTCTGATCCCCAGGATCAGGCCTAAACTGGCAGTTGGACATCCTGCAAGGGGTCCCAGATTGGAGAGGCTGCAGGCTGGGCTGAGGGGACCTCCCCTCCCATGCATGAATTTCATGCACCAGGCCTCAAGTAGTCTATAATAGGGTATCCCAAATAAATCTCTTTTTCCACAAAATAATAGGCAGCACTCAAGTAATAAGTATCTTAGTGTCAAATATTGCACACATATCAATTCTTAAATATTGCTTAACCCTTATTTATACCTTGAGATGGCTCTTAGCCTTGTCCAATCTAATACTTGTGCATTTCTTTTCCTTAAGGGGAGTATATGTCTAATTATATCCCTTCTTTTTGCCATTATTTTTTTCTTCCAAAACTCAATCAGGAAGAATCAGAAAACCTGAATAGACCAGTAATAACTAATGAAATTGGAGCAGTAATAAAAATAACGCCCAGCAAACCAAAGTCCTGGACCATATGGCTTCACAGGGGACTTTTAGAACTAACACCTATCCTCCAAAAACTGTTCCAAAAAATCCAAGAGGAAGGAACACTTCCAAGCTCTTTTCATGAGGCTAGGATTATCCTAATTCCAAAACCAGATAAAGACACTGCAAAGAAAGAGAATTACAGGCTAATATCCCTGATGAACATAGATAATAAAATCCTTAACAAGATATTAGCAAATCGGATCCAGCAATATATTAAAAAAGACCATACACCAT